GAACTCCTACCTGACAAATTCACAGGCAGCTGGAGGCAGACGAGTGTGATGAAGCAGCTGGAGAATCGGGAGCCAGAGGAACTTGCCATCTCCATCCGAACTAAGAGGACATGCACAGGGAGAAACCAGAGAGGGTTGGTGAGCTTGACTTGAGAAAGTGTACAACCTAGGAGGTGGGAAAGGTGGAGGCTGCATACATAGCATGTGTTCTGGATCATGCAGACCATGGTTCAAATCTCAACTTTGCTACTTACATCCATGTAACATTGTGATTTAACCTCTCTGAGACTCTGTTTCTCCATCTTTAAAATGGGTATACTAACCATGCCTCTTTGGGAGATTATTGTGAGGACTGTAGGAGGTAAGTACTTGACATGAAGGTTGGCATCACAGTTAAGTCTATAAATGCCATGAGTGAGGACGATGGTGGAGATAAGATGAGTGAGGACTGAGGGTGAGACACTGAATGTGATATAGAATGCATAGGGAGGAGTCTGGAAGAACTTACACCCAGAACTAACCCAGTAAACACCAGAGTACTGGCCTCTTTTCACATTTAGTGTCCAAGGCCAGGCTTGGAAAGTGCCTGTTACGAGCCAGTCTTCAACCTAAATGTGATCCAATCTCTTCCCTGACAGCCTTTCCATTTTAACTCTTGAGAAACAAAAAATCAAGGCAGTGAGTTCCCTCCATTTCATCATGAAGGCTCTGATCCTACAAACTCAGGGACTGGAGTTAGAAAGATCTGGGTTTAAGTTTCAGCTTATCCATGCACTAGCTCTCTGTGTCCCTGGAAAGACGTATAACATCCGTGGGCCTCCAGGTCTTAATCTACAAAGGGGGAATCATCTTCACAGGTGACTGTGAGAGTTCAAGGAGGAAATGCATGTAAAGCACTTGCCACAAATGTCTGACAGAACAATCATTCAATAAATGTGCTGTTGTTGTTGTCATTATTACTAAACTAAAAGAGGACAGTTATCCCCAAGAAGTGTGGGGCACTGAATACATTAACCACAGCGACACCCTAGAGGATTCCCTACTGTAAACCTCTTTCCCCACCTACTTGACTGCCTGTAATTCCTATAGCAGGAAACAAACCTTTTATGCCAAAATTGAGAAAGAAGTTTAAACGTAAAAACACTTGAAGAAGAGTTAGTGTCTCTTAAATTCTCTCCAAGATTCCAAATCTTTTCCAAAGAGGAGGAGTTTTTTAGAAGTCATCAGATTGGGTCTTGTAATAGGGCAAAGATGGGACTTGGAGGAAGTGGGGCTGTCAAAGACAGTTGGGAGACTGAAGATGGACTTAAGCTTTGAACACATATCTAATTCTGTTTTTCTCGTGGCAAACAGCATACTGGGTTTGTTTTGTTTTGTTTTTATTTTGTTTTGTTTTATCATGATGCACATAACACACTCCTCTAATGCCCCAGTATTGCAAATGGCAGCATAACACTAAGACACAGTGAAGTTAGGATTACAGTTAGGATGGTTTTTTTGTTTTTTTGTTTTTGTTGTTGTCGTTTGCCTCTATCCCACCCACTTTCCTACAGGTTACCAGCTACTCAAAAACTGAACAAGAGAAGTTAGGTAAATGAGCTTATCAATTATCATTGAAGGTGGAAGTAGGCAAAGCCCAGGATCCCCTAAAGTTACCCTAATCCCCAAAACCCTCAGTTAGAAGATGCTGTTGAAACACACCCTGAATAGACATGCTCAGAGTGACACAGAACTCCAAAATGAACCAGGGCCACCTGAAATCAAATAAGAGGAGTTCCCCCCACCCATGGCCCCATCTTCCTAGATTCAGATAGTTGATTAAGTGATCAAGAGGATGAGCTCTAGAATCAGCCTGGGATCAAGCCCTGGCTCCACATTAACTAGCCGTGTGACCTTAAATAGGCGAGTTTATCCCTCCAAGTCTCCTCTCACTCACACATGAGGTTAATGATAGTACCCACCTCATGGATAGGGCTATAGTGAGGATTCATAGATGATAAATGTGAAATGATTTGCACTAGATTCTAATAATAAAAACGAATGAAGTCCTATCACTCTGTCACTCTGTGTAATGAGGGCAATCGAGGTGGCTTTAGGAGAGGAACTCCCTGAAGCACATCACTGAGTTTACTGATTCATGGAAATCGCCATAAAAGCAGACTAGCCCAAGAGAGGATGACATCAGAAATAGGACTTTCACTCTTTAGTCATGAGAGAAATGCAAATTAAGACTGCAGTTAGATATGAGTCATCACACATGTGGGCAAACTGACTATCTTGCCCTTTGCTAAACAACTCTCACAAGGATAATTTAGTAATAATTATCAAACAATTTACAAATATGCAAAAGTTTTAATCCAGTAATTTTAATTCCAGAAAAAAATCCTACAGCAACAAAAATGTGCATAAGGATTTGATGGTGACGATGCTCATGACAAAGTTATTTACAAAAAGGGAAAATTGAAAACAACCTAGAAGTCCATTAAAATGAGAATGATTAACTATCTGTGGTACATTCTTGCAGTGAGATACTATGCAACATTTCATAATCACATGATAGAACAATCTTTAATAGCATTAGGAAATTTTCATTATAAACCAACGATGTTAAAAAGCTATGCATAGTGTGATAGAATTTAGGAAGACGGTGTTTAGAAAAAAGGCGAGAATGTAGATATTAAACAGTGGTTACTTCTGGGAGTGGGGGAAAAAACATTGCAACAGAAGTTCCCTTGATAACGCCAAGCAACTTAAGAGGACCCTGCAGATCTACAAATGATCAGTCTGAAAGCACACAGCAGAGGATCTGGCTAATAGTAAGGGCTAAATAAATGATAACTGTAATAATTAATCACAATGACAATAATACCTAAATGAGAGTCTTTAGACAAAACCCAGCCAACTCTTGTCACTTGTCCCCTTTTGTGCTCATTTCCCATTGCCTCATTTCGTCATTTAAAATGTCTTTGTGAATAAGGAAAAAAAGGGACAATTTCTCCAATGAACCCGAAGATCCTAAGAAAGTCAAAGGAGTTAAAAAGAATGAAGAGAGGGGAGAGGGGAGAGGGTGGAGAACTTACCGCCTTTGGAATCAGGGGCCTTTTGTCTCTCACCGGCAGAGCTGGAGTCTCCAAGCTGGGAACACTCCCTCTATCCATACAGGGAGATCAGGCAGAAGGATCAGGGAGGGCTCTGAAGAAGGGTCTGAGAAAAGTTCATCTTTTATTCTAACTTCCTTAGCCCACAGCCAGGGGCTCCTTCAGTCTGTCTCACAGACTCCCTTCTAGCTGTCCCCATACACTAACGAGCTACGCCCTGCCTGTCTGCCTCTGATAAAGGAACAGAGCAAAGAGGAGCCTCCCTAAAAGTGAGAGAAACTCTGAGTGCCACCAATGTGAGGGATCTTTGCTCCTTGCTTCTTTTCCCTCCCAAGCTAACCACATAGCTATTTCCTTTTTAAATGTTTTGATCCTAAAACACTCGTTCTGAAAAACTTGCTCTCATTTACTTTCCAAATCTGAGTAAAGTTGAAGATTGGTTTCAAAGACACCCACCAATTAGACATCCACTTTAACTCACTACCTTTATCTCCAGCTGCACCCTGACCTGTGCTTTCTGACAAGCAAACTTGCCTACTGTCTCCCAACATGTGGTAAACCCTTTCTTGCTTGCCTTGACGGCTTTCATTATATACATAATTGTATACTTATAACATCTATAATTGTATACTTAACAATGCATTATGTATTTTTGTGTATTTTTGAACCTTATAAAGATGGAGTACATTGTACATAATTCTCCTTGACTTCCTTTTTTTCACTCAACATTACTTTCTGAGTCTAACAAACACCTGTGGTGGCCTGAACCATGTCCCCTCAGCCCCACTCTGTTTCGGGGTAACCGAGACTTGGAGACAAGCTGCCAGCATGCCACTCCAAAAGCCACAGCAGCTCGTTGCTCGTTTGACTCAGGCTCTCTACAGAGCCTGGGAAGACTGTTTGGCCTAAATGGAGCCCAGGAGTTCACGAAAGTTAATGTCCTAGGGGATCAACCTGTGGTCATGTGAGTCAGTGGAAAAAAAATACTCTAGCCTCACACCTTCAGAGGAACAGTTCTAAACTGTATTCTACACAATTCTCAGAGAGTTCCCAGTGGGAATGAGCACAGAGGCCAACAGTCATCAGTAGCTCAATAATGCACATTTTATCGTTTTTTTCTTCCTTTTCTTCTCACTCACCATTTCTGATTCCTGGGATCACCTCCTAAATAAACTTTTGCATGGAAGGACTTGTTTCACACTCTGCTTTGAGTGGAGTACAAATTAAGACACTGAAATGCATCCAAACTGATTCACAGAGCTTCAGTACATTCATTCACTGCTTTGTGGTAGACCATCATATGAATATACCAACAGTTTGTCCATTCCCTCCTTAATAAAAAAATGAGTTGTTTCTGGGCTTTTGCTTTTACAAACAGCTCTGCTATAAACATTCTTGATATATGTTTCCTGGTTCACATGAGCAAGAGTTTCTCTAGGACAGCAGTTCTCAATTTGTGGTCCATGAACTCTTGGAGTCCCTGAGAGCTTTTCAGGAGGCCCCCCTAGTATCACAACATTCATAATAATACTAAGCCATCATTTGCTTTTTTCACTGTGTTGACATTTTCAATGATGCTGCAAAAGCGATAATTTTTAAGGTACACACACCCCTACATACATCATGCCATTACTACACCTATCAAAATTAACAATAATTCCTTGATATTATCTGATATCCAGTCTATATTCATATGTTTTCAATAATATCAAACATGTCTTTTTACACATGGTTTGTTCAAATCCAGATCCAAACAAGCTGCACACATTGCATTTTGTGGTTAAGTTTCTTAAGTGTTTTTATTCCATACTGCCCTTCTTTTAAAAGTTTTCCTTACACCCTTGATTGTTGGTAAAACTGAATAATTTGTCTTGTGCAATGTCCAGATATGGCTGATTGCTTTCTTGTGGTATCATTTAATTTAGATTTCTATCCCTCATATTATCTATAAACTGGAAAGCTAGAGTTAACTGGGTTCAGGTGCACGTACGTCTAAGCTGTGTGACCTGGACGAGAGCCTTCACCTTTCTGCATCTCATTTACCTTTTTGGTAAATTGAGGATAAGAATAGTAACTACCTCACTGGGTTGGTGTAAGGAAAAAATTAGTTACAACATATAAGATACTTAGAACAGTGGAAGACACCCAATAAATCGTACCTATTATTATCTGAGGAAAACCTCCAGCTTGGAAGCCAGAGACCAAAATAAACAACAGAGACAACATAATAAGTGGAAGTAAAGACAGAAAATTAAAATTGACATCTACAGAAATATGAAATAAGATAAGATCCCGAATCCACAACACAAAAGCAAGAGGTTACCAAAAGGAAAATCAGGGTACAGGAAAACTCTTTACAATTTAAATTTTATAGCAGAAATTTAAAAATTCGATAGAAGAACTAGAGGATAAAGAACTGGAGATAAAGGAAAATTGCTTGTAAAGTAGAATAAACAAAACCAAGAGATGGAAAATGAGAGGGAAAGGTTTTTTAAAAACAAAGAAATCCATCACGGAGAAAGTTTCCCAGAATTAAAGACTATACATTTCCTAATTGAAAGAGACCACTGAGTGCCTAGTGCATTAAATGAAAAAGTCTTACCAGGATATATCATTATGAAGGTTCAGAACACCAAGGATGAAGGAAAAATATATAGACTAAAAGCTTCCAGAAAGAAATGAACAAACAAAAATCCCATAGAAAGTAAGAGAAATCAGAATAAATTTGACCTCTTAAGAGTCTAGCCACATGAGAAGCTAGATAACATGGAAAAATGCTTTTAAAATTCTGAGGAAAAATGATTTCCAATCTAGAAACATGTTTTCCAATCTAGAAACCCCACCAATCAAGTATGAAGGTAAAATAAAGCCATTTTTACACAAGCAAGGTTTCCAAATTTTACCTCCTATGAACCACTTCTGGGGAAGTTACTGGAGAATGTGCTCCTTCAAAATGAGAGAATAAATGACAAAAAGGAAGATTCAGGAGACAGAGGATTTAGCACAAGAGAAAAGAATGTGGTTAGAGGAAGTCCAAGGATAACGGTTGGAGGGAGAGAAGGGTGACCTAAGGATGTTTCCAAGAAAAAAAGACATTGAAAGATCACTGGATTCATGTGATCACCAGAGATGTTTTACAATCCTGATAGAGAGTGTGTGGAAGAATTAACAATAGATGCACAAGTAATTAAGCAAATGAAAAAAATAGGCAATATTTGACTCTAGAAAAAAAAAGAGCTGCTCAATAAAGTGAATGTAGTCTTAATATATGATATACACTTTAACTGTAAACAGTTCTATACTTACTTTAACATAAGTTCTGACTCAACCAACCAGGGAATTTTGCAGACTGGCCAAGAGTCTATTGATGGTTACAAAAGAGAGAGAGAGAGGGATCATAAACTGCTGCGGCACTTACTAGGAGGAGACTTTCACTCCATCCTGGATTGAGCCTTCACCTTCCTGATAAAGAATCCTAAACCAGTATCTTCACATCTGTGCCTTTTTGGAGCCCATATTACTGGACGACTCTACTCACCTATTGCCACCTGTAAGTGTAAAGTAACACACACTTTCTCTCCCTCCCCACCCCAAACACTTCTAATTTATCTCCTTCTTCATCCTTTTCCAAGCCAACTCATCGTACCTTCACTTTTATCAGTGGCTCCACTATTTTTCCAGTCTTCCAGTTTGGCTTTTCCACTCCTTCCTACCCTATACCCAATCTGCTTAGTTGGCTTTGTCTCCAGCTATAATCTAATCCAGAGCTTATATGAACTTTATAAACTGTACAACAACACAAATGTAAAATACCACTATTATGCCAAGATTTCTGAAATAGATTCTGGCTTGGTTACTTTTGTTATTAACAATAATAATTCAATTAATATTTGTATAGACTTTAAAAAAGTATTTATTATACATTATTTTGATTGAAAGAAGAAAGTATAAATCTTGCTAAAGTATAAATGTTCATTGTAGAAATTTTGGAAAATACAGAAAAGCACAAAGAAGATAAAAATAACTTCTACTCTTAATCAGGATTTACATTTTGGTGTGTTTTCATGCAGCCTCTTTGCATGTAAAAATAAAACAAATATTGTGATTATGTTGTATTATGTCAATAAATATTCTATGTCATTTTAATGATTGCATAGAATTCCATTATAGCTATCCAATAATTTAAACAACCCCTATTATAAATATTTTGGTAGTTTCCAGTTTTCTTTTTACCCTCATTAGAAAATGTTTCCAGTTTTTTTACTCTGATTAATTAGGATAACTTAGAAGTGGAGTTGCTGAGTCAACGGTTATGCTCCCCTCCCCCCTTTTTTTTAGTTATATACAGGGACAGTGGTATTAACTATATTCACATTGTTGTATAACGTATCTAGCATTCTACTTTCTAAGAGTTTGAATATTTTAGATATCTCATAAAAATGAAATCATGTAATATGTGTCTTTTTGTGGGGTTGCACTCATTTTTAAGGCTTTGATATGTAGTGCTAAACTGACTCCCAAGAAGGTTGTAATGATTTACACTTTGAAAGTGTATGAGTGTCCACCTGGGTACACCCTCATTGTTTACTTGGCATTCATTATTTGTTTCAATTCTTACTAAATCTTTAGAGGAACAAAAGTTGTGGGCCTGAACATGTTTTCCTTTGGATAGGCCATTGCCCTATCCTGAATCCTGGCTGAAATATTTGCTGCGGCACTTACCAGTTGTGTGACCTTGGACAAATCACAACTGCTCAGTGCCTCTGTTTCTCTATCTGTAAAATGGGGATAATAATGGTATATTATTATACATGTACATTATTATACGTACTTATTAAGAGGAATACATGAGATAATAAATATAAAGCTCTAAGAATAGTTATCTGGATCATAAAAAGCCCAGAAGAGAGGTGGCTATTATTGTTGTTATCATTAGACTGAACAGGATTTCTGTTGTCAAAGCATTTAGTCACTATTTTCTTCAATTTTGCTAATCTAATAAATTAAAAACGTCAGCCACTTATTTTTATACGTAAAATTTTTGTAAATAATTGTAAAATTGTAATTGTAAAAATAATTGTTAATATTATTGATTAGCAGTGAACTTGAACGTTCCTCTACATCTATATTGGCTATTTATAGTTGTCACGACTTCTTTTTTCAAAGCACTGTGGTAAACAGGCTCTCGCTTGATCTTCCTAATAAACTTAGAAATCAAGACAGCAATCACCATTCTCACTTTAGAACTAAGAAACTGAGGCTCAGAAAGTTACAATTCTAGTCTCAGGTTTCAAATATCACCCTTCAAAGCCTAGCAGCTGTCTCAAAAAATATTCCGGGTAAAAGATTTTCTTAAACCACTCCGCCCCAGTCCCAGCTCCAGCCCCAGCGC